AGCGCAGGAATAATTTAACTGTGCGAAGCGTGTAATTGTTTGCTGTGTTCGATGCTGTTATTGTGCCCATTTTGAATGCAAGATTTTTGACTGGAAGTGGTAAACCTTTATTTAAAACTCTTTTAGACTCGTATCAAATTCAATTTCAGTCTTAAGGAGCTGTTTAGCTAAAACATCTGTGTAGTAAATCTGTAGGTGTTTCTTCAATACTTATTGAGTATTATTAGTACAAGATTGTTGGCTTTCTCAATTGTTAATTAATAGAATTAAGTGGCGCATTATTTTGTTGGCTGTTAAAGTAAGTAGGACATATTTGACTGAGTTAAATTTGATTATTATCTACAAAGTATCAATTTTTTTATTTGTTTTCTTGGACCTTTTTTGCAGAAATCTAGATCTGTTGCATCAGGTCGAAAAATTTGCATACAATTCCCATTTTTGTTTGGGAAGGTTTTAGCGAAGTTTAAAAATGTGAATAAAGGTTTTTGACTAAAGAAAGTTACATTCTGAGTTGGATAATTCTTATTGTTTGCCCAGTGGTTTTTCTTCTGAAGCTTGCAGCAGTTTTTTATCGGCATTTGTTTACTGAGTGAAGAAGTAGTATAGTTTGTTTAATTGTGCTTTTGTGGTGTGTCTTTCTCAGTATTGGTTTTAAATGCGTTTTAAGCAGTAGTCAGTTTTTGCCAATTATTCCTTGTTCCCATATCTCTTTGGTTTTTAGATTTACTAATGGTAATTAATAGGAAGGCTAGTTTTATAGGTCATATTAGAATTACTATCTACTAAAGGGAATTTATGGTGCCTCAACGCATGCTATTGCGGTCACTTTCCAACTTTTTCTTGATCTCTTATTCTCTTTTATTTTTCCAAATTGTTCAAGGAGTGGAATAAAAACGTTTCAAGGACGTTAGCGGTAGCGATGAAATGTCCGTGTTGATTAATTTTTGTTTTATTTTTTGTTCTGCTTGCAGGTCCAAGCTTTATTTACAAGTTTATCGCTGAGGCGCACGTTAAAAAGCCATGGGTAAAGACTACTACAAAGTACTAGGAATAGCAAGAGGGGCTACTGAAGATGAAATCAAGAAAGCGTATCGGAAAATGGCTTTGAAGTACCATCCAGATAAGAACAAGGAACCAGGAGCAGAGGCCAAGTTTAAGGTGTTTATTAATTCCAATACCTGTACGATGGTTATTTGAAAGTCCTGCGGCCTAATTTCACTGCCTTGTTTGCCCAAAGTGCTAATCTTAAAATTTAGTGGCTTTTTTTTAACTACTGCGCTTTTTCTTTTGTTATGGGAACTTCGCGTTTTATCCTGGAGTCTTTGTTTCAGGATGTAGCAGAAGCCTATGATGTTTTATCTGATCCAAAAAAGAAGGAGATTTACGATAAATACGGTGAAGATGGTTTGAAGGCAGGCGAGGGTGGTCCGGGAGCTGGTGGCTTCCATTACGAATTCCAGTAAAATTTTTTCTTGTCTTTGTGACTTAGAGCTTCAGCCTATTCTGTTTATGTTTCTGAATCGTATTTTACAGGATTAAGGTATGGTTTCCTGGTTTTTTTTTCTTATTCAGTACATGTTTCGATTTCAGAGGTGATCCAATGCGGATGTTTGCGCAATTTTTTGGTGGCGAAGATCCTTTTACAGCTTTCTTTAATACTGGAGGATCAGGAATCTTCACCACTGGTGGAACTGATGACTTTCATTTGTTCGGTGGTGAGTTTTCTTTTACGGAATTTTCATTTTTCTAGGTTTGATATTATTTTCTTTGATATTTTTTCTGTTTTGAACAAACATCTTTGGAACAAGCTGCTTTGTATAACTTTTGGTATTGAGGGTTTAGGAGGTATGCCCTTTGGCATGAGCGGTGCGACACATGGCAGGCGACAGCGACAAGACCCAACTGTACAACATGAACTCCTCGTCTCGCTAGAGGATATTTACAAAGGATGTACTAAGAAAATGAAAATTACAAGGTTCGTTTCAATTTTCCTGAATGCTTAAATTATTTTTTGCTGGTCCTCTATCAGTATATTCGATCTTTGCTGGAATACCTGTTTTAGGAAAGTTTTGAATCCTGATCAGCAGTCAAGTCATATTGAAGATAAGGTACTGACTATAAATATTAAACCGGGCTGGAAAAGTGGCACTAAAATAACTTTCCCAAAAGAGGGCGACCAAAATCCAGGACGTATTCCTGCTGATATTGTTTTTGTTATCAAGGACAAACCCCACCCAAGGTTTAAGGTAACGGAAATTGTTTTCATTCCACATGTTTTTTCTAGAACAGATAGAGTGAAAAAGTCTCATTAAATTCAAATTTCAGCGTGAAGGATGTGACATACGTTATGTACACAAAATTTCTTTACGAGATGCGCTTTGTGGTACTAGCATTAGTATACCATCTTTAGATGGGACTACCATACCAATAAGAATAACTGAAGTTGTCAGACCAAACACTTCTAGAAGGTAGTTTGATTTTGTTCAATAAAAATTGCCTATTTAATGACTAGTTCTTTTTTTGATGTGCTGGTAACAGTGTTATCATTAGCCATATTCACATTATGGGGGAAAAATGCCTAATCTTGTTGGTTTTTTAAGAATATCCGGCAAAGGTCTGCCAAACCCTAAATCTCCTGGTCGATATGGTGATCTCATTGTAGAATTTGATGTAAGGTTTCCCGAGGTCGTAACTCCTGAAATGAAAGAATTGCTTCGTGACGTATTGCCGGCTTAGTTACGTGTTGTAGACTGGCTCGCATTGATGTCTAATACAGCAGGACGTATTGTATAAATTTGAAAATCTGTTTATGATTTGTTTTGAGCTTTAGATATTCTCCTTCCAAAAGAGTTTTATAAGTGTGTCTTTTTTTAATGGTTCTTATTCTCTTTCCTCGTTGACTAATTTTTCGCGTTACTTTTTTTCGGAGGTGTGATTTTCAGAGTTTCTTGAGTGTTCAATTCAGTTTTGCTCATTGCTTTTCTGTGGATCTATTGCATGTTACCTGTCACGTTCGTTGCTCGTGTTGAATCATGTATCATTTAATGCTTGCGTTTACACGGGTATTTGATGTATAAAATGTTTAATGATTAGGGGAGATCTTCGGAGTGCATAGAGTTTTTCTTAAGAATATCCAGACTTAATTGGCTTTAGCTGCGGTTATTATTTGCTAGCTGCCGATTGAGCGTTGTTAGACGTGTTGTTGGCTTATTGATTTTTTTTGTTCGAGAAGGGTTTATTTTCAAGCGTTAAACGGGTAAAGTAGAGAATGATATTTGGCTGGGTGGAGAATGGAAGGTGTAGATTTCTTGTTTTCTGGGTGGACGTTCAAGCTGTGTCGGCAACATTTGCTGTGTTGCATTTTTTTGGGTTTCGTTTCCACAGTATTAGTTTTGCTACTATTTCATGTTGTGTCGTGAAGTAATTTTGGAAATCTCTAATATGTCATTTGGTGTATTGCTGTTCCTAAATAAAATTACTCCTAACCTTTAATTGGTGTGCATCATTAGCTCTAGTTTTGCTTTTCTGAGTTGGATGGTTCTAATATAGAGCGGCAGGTTCCGACTTAAGTGAAGAAGTTTTACAAAGTCTTTTAATGCATGTTTATTGTTGATGAAAAGCTATTTGTGAGTTTGCAAGTGATTGTCTGTGACGATTGTTTTGAGGAGTTCCTTGAAAGATGTCGTCAATGAGGGTTTGTTGAGCTGCAGTGTTGAAAATTTTGTTTTGATGATCAGATGAACGAAGCTGACGTCGGAAAGGATTCAATCCAACAGGCTCCAACCCCGCGTTGCAGTCGAAAATAGCCGTTTTCACCCCAGCTATAATAGTTTTTAGCACAATAGGCGGTTGCAGAAATCAGGTGGCAGTGTCTACCAAAAATTGTACTAATTGGGTTGAAGTTAGGTTTACGAGGCACTTACTCGGTTCCCCAGCTGTTTTTTAGAATCCAATATTTAATACCGTTTTCTTCACCAAAACCAACTGCAACGACTGCATGATTTGGTGTCATTGAAGAGCAGTAATAATTCGGCGTCATAATTGATCCACCTTTGAAATCTTTGTAGAGAAACAGTGGTACAGCGATATCTGAAATATTATAAACGAACTAGTGTAAGACCTGTGCATCATAATGGATGATATCATTTTCTAATACAGCGAAGCACAACATATGTTTTCCAAATAGAATAAGTTTTAGAGTTTTTTTTGTTGTAATAGTCTGTATTAGTGGTTTAAATTTCTTTATACGAAAAGCTAATCAACAGGACTTACTGAGTGTAACAGGACCAAATTTAGAAATGAACCATGCAATTGACCATTCATTAGGTGCAATTGAATAAAGACGTTTTAACTTAATTGATCCTTGATTATAACACCATCCGTTGCGTATATATTCATTATTCTGATAAAATCCGTGATAAAGTCCTCGGCTGAAAGAAGAAAGCACAAAAAAAAATTTTTTCTGTTACTAATTTTTAGGTTTGCCTTTCAGTTCTTCTTTTCACTACAAAATAATGGCTCTTTTTTTAAGTGTATTTCTCATTTTCTGCTCTTTTGATCGTTCTTCTGTTTTTCCTTAATCTTTTTTTTTTTTTGTTTTTGTTTTCTGTCTTTGACTTTAGAGTATCAGTTGCATTGGAACTGCTTATGTAATATTATAAGAAACACTGGTTTTTTTTAATCACCGATTAACTTTGATTTCATTTTTGACCACTGCAGAAACACGTTCTTTGTTATGGCAGCTGACTTTATGGGGCCATAAAGTTTTTTTTTAACGATACTTTGACAATATATTGTGTACAGCCAGTTGTTTCAAAAAAAAAAGTTGAGGGATTTAAAAGCACCGCATTCTTCCCAGTCGTTTTGCCAGTGTTTCCCAGCATACTTCCGTAACTTTCACGCTCTGATCTTTAAAAATTTTCCCACGCCTCTTCTGGCAAACCGACGACAACACCGTTGGTTAGCCAATTATTTGTTGAAAGTTTTTCATAAAAGCTGCTATTATAGAACAGAGAGTTTCAAGAAATTTTCCTCTTATTTTACCTTTATTTTTTTTTACAGTTACTACTGCAGCATTCAATATTAGATTGATTCTGTTTTGAAATTTGCGAAAAAAAAACTATTATTAATGGTTTAATAAACTTCCTTTTTTTTTTATTTTTTTGTAGAATATTGACTAATAGAAAATGACCTTAAGTGCAAACTTACGCAGTTGCTCGTCTGGTATTTCCACTGTAACATCCGCTGTTAGTGTAATCACAATCTAACAGTTCCAATTCAGACAAAATTGCTGACTTCCCGAAACGTATTTTATATAGCGATTCGACAGTGGCTGTTACTGCATGTGCCCAGCATGAATTACAGTGACTATCTGAAAAAAAAGAAAAGACAAAGAAAACAACATATAATCGGTCAGAGTAGGGTTGAAATTGATAAAATAACCTTTGTGAAGCATTAATAATCTGTTGAGCAACGATATTTGCAACTATACTTCTCTATTTGTGTCAAAAAAAACCTCGTCATCATTTTGTTGGGAGTAGTTAGAAAGAAGCTAAAAGAAAAATTGTTGCTCAGTTTATCTAAATAAAAAAAAAAAAGAATTATTTAAATTCTCAACTAATATAAAGCTGTTTAGAAATCTGTTGCTGGTTTATTGAAAATGAAGTATGAATTTAAGATCATTGAATACTTTGTTTCTTGACCGGGGTAACACCGTCAAACCATCTCCAATCAAACTGTCGAGGTATTGGGTCAATACCGTTCCACTGAACATACGTCCAAACATTCGGTCCACGGAGTACTTGTTGATCACTGTGTTCCACTGGACGTGAAAGCTAAATTTCAGAAGTACAAATAACTTTTTATTACAACTTACTAACAAATTTACTGCTAATATTTGGCAGTTAAACGACGAACTATGTACAGGTAACAGAAGTAACCAACCTGTTTCAGTTCTGTATCTGTCCAGTCGGCAAACATAGTGATACCATATTTTGTATTATTACTGTTTGCATTTTTTTCATCTATACTTTTCAACGAATTAGCAAAAATTGTTAATCTCATAGATTTCTCATCAGCTGTCATATTGTTCCTTGGATGCCTTAAAAATAACTTTTTTTTTGCAACGTCGGAGCTGTGCAATAATTCAATTAATTTCTATTTTTTTTAATGTTTAATATCATTCGGTGCAGCAGGTGTATTTCTTTTCCTACTTTATTGTATATATTTGTATCTAAAGAAAAAAAAAAAGAATCTGATTTGTTGGATGAACAAACACGTTTTTCAATAAATTTTTCTTTGGTGAACTAAAATACATCAATTGCTGCTTGTTATTTGTCTATTTAAAGAAAGCTTTTTTGTTTAGCCGCTGTACAAATTTGTTGTCGAAGAAAAGTAACAAACTGTTGTCATGTTCTGGGTCTGCTATTTAGTTCCTGTAACCGTCCAATTACTCTAAATGCTTCTAGAGAAAATTTCTCAGCTTTGTTTGAAGTTGATATATGAAGATATGAGTGTAGGCCTTCTATACGTTTTTGAAAATCTTAGTAAGCTTTTTGTTTATTTTTAAACGCATAAATATTTTAGGTTCCACTACTACTGAACTAGACAGCATAGAGTTTTAGTGTCTTGCATAGATTACTGTAACTGAAAAATTTGGTTGGCTTCTGAATCTAGTTGTTAGTAGCAGGAAATAAAAGTGAAAAAAACGTCAGTTACGGACAGCATCTGCAAAAATTGCAGTTTTTTGGTAAACACTTAAAGAAATATTGGCTAACCTTTCCAAAAAGTCGTCATAAAGTATTCTGAGCTTCTCGTCTGTCAATTTTTTTTCAGTAATACTGTTAACATGTAAAGAGCATAGCTGTAGTAAATAAAGAACCAGTGTTGTAGTATTTTTCATCTGAAATATCACCGCAATTATTGAGCAGTATTTGGTTAGTTATTATTTATTTGTTTGCTTTTTCTTTTTTTTCTTCTTTTTTTTTTCAAATTTACTTCAGAAAGAATGGGGTAAAAACACAGATGAACAAATAGGGTACATTATCTGACACGTTTCAGTTTTGTCTGTTTTTTCAGTTACAGTTTTATAATTACAAAGTAGTAAATTCTTTTTTTTTCTTTGCAAGCAAATTTTTCTCAAATATAATAGGTTTTTTTCTAATATATCGAGGTTATCTGCAGGAAGCACCTGGTTAAGAACTGGTGAAAGGTTAAGCGACGACAGCGCGAAGAGTCTGAATCGTCAAAGAAAACGACGTCACACTGATGAGAATAATATTCTATCAGTTAGACATAAACTTATTGCCTTAAAACAATGTATACTTTCTTTTTAAAAGTGCTTTTTGTTTTTTTTTTTTTT